GGACACAACTGGTGCATGCCTGTGTAAATGTTCTGGCTCCTGGTTCCAAAGGCTGACAAACTGCCCCAGATTTACCAGTAATGCTGGGAGAATGCAGGGAAAGCGAAGCCAGAGCCAAACCCAGCCCCTGGAGTCTCGTAGGCTTTGTCTCCACGGCAGGGTTTTTGCGCAAGAAGCTTTTTGCGGAAGCAATCTTCTGCAAAAGCGCGTCCAGACTTCAAAAGCGCATCACAAAAGCCATGTGCTTTTGCACAAGAGAGTGTCCACACTGCATGGATGCTCTTGCACAAGAAAGCTCTGATTGCCATTACAGACTGGCCATCAGAGCACCTGTGCTTTTTCTGACAGGCTCTTTTTTGTGTAAGAAACCCCTGTGGAGCATCCACACAGGCCTTTTTGCGCAAGAGCTGTAGCACAAAGAGGAGTTATTCCTCGGGGGCAGAGAGATAACTACCAGCAAAAGCCCTCTGTCCAGTCGACTTCCTGCTGGGTTTTTTGCGTGGCTCCTGGCTCCAGGATGGTCCCTTTTAGGCCCAAAGTGGCACCATCTAGACATGGGGACAACTCCTCCTGCTGGCCCCAGAAATCTCGCCTCAGCCCCCACCCTTCTGCAAGAGGGGGCTGGGACATGCTGCCAGTGAGCTAGGCCTCTGCAGAATCCGGCTCGTCCCCAGCACAGCAGGATGCGTGACTCTCCCACGGCACAGAGCGGGGGAGTCGGCCCGGGGCTGTCAGGGGCTGCAGAGCTCGGCGTGCACATTGCAATGCGTCTGTCCTGCCTGGCTCCAGTGGCCACTGCTTCGGCAGCCGCTTGTGCAGTTTGCTTCAGCTGCTCGCCCTCTTGCCGGCGGGACAGTCGTGTTTCTGCTCCTCCAAAGATCCCGTCAGTGAGTCTCGCGGCTTGCATGTTACTCCGAGCCTGAGGCTTCTCCAAAGTCTGCGGCCTATTCCGTGAATAGCAGCCACATCTGTTGCCTGTGCTGGTCCGAGCGGATCCTCCCGAGCAGCAGCCGGGAAGGCTGAGGCGGTCGCTGTGCAGAGCTGCCGGGGGAGGGTCCCCATGCCCAAGGGAAGAGGCTATTGCCTGTTGCGCTTGCAAGGGATGGGTTAGGCGAATAATGGCTCTCAGTTCCCATCTGGCCTCTGTGCAGCAAGGGAGGCTCCCAGCAGCTGGGTACGGGGGGGCGGAGGGGAGAGCTGTTTGCAGCCCTGGGGAGAGGTGTGGGAGCAGGGGGAAGGGGCTTGGCCAGAGGAGTAAGATTCCCTGCTTGCTCAGCCTCACTCCAGCGGGTCTGCGTCCAGCCCCTGCCAGCGCAGGAGACCGGGTGCACAGAGGGCTTGTCTCACAACGGGCGCATCCACACTGCAGCTGGGTGCAAGCCCCCCC